ATAGTCTAAAATGAAAATTAAATAATTATATTCTGTTTTAGTGTCACTTCCTAGTCAAAATGATATTCAACAAAAGAAACTATCATGTTATCACTAAACGTCAATAAGAAAGAATAAAAAAAAAAGTTTTTTTTTTTGTCGTATATCTCATGCAAGAGGCAAGTTATCATTGTCTTAAAAGTGACGTTTATATCTTTTATCAGCAACGAATAATCGAAAAACAAAATTACAGATATCTCTAACATGTCACTACTCTATTGTCAAAAACTCATCTAATAAGTTGATTAAAATTAATGTAATATTTTTCAATAGAGCAAAAACTAATTTCTCATATGACTTAAACAATATTTACATCATATGAAACATTCTTTACAAGGTAATTTCACAACTCATAAAAATGATACGTTGTAAAAACCATGAATAAAATACATCTCAACATTTACCTTGCGATTCTATTTTACTCAAAAGAAAAAAAAAACGCACGTTTGCTTTTGTGTGTAAATAAATGATTCATTATAGCAGACAAGAGAACGACAAAATGCCGTAAAGACATTAGAAAATTCTCGCAAAAATGTTTCCATTAAAATATTCCCATAGGTGCGGGTATGGATGACAATAGAATGATATCACACCCACACCCTAGTTCGACACATCCATGTGTGCTAGTAATCAATAACCACAAAACCATAATGTTGATCAATGGGAAACGATCAACTATAAACACAAAGAAATTATAAAACAACGTTAGTAATCGCTCCATTCTAAAAATTCTATGGTTCATGCCGGTTCATTACTGTCTCGTCGTCAGCTTTAATCAAAAATCTGTTCAAGAATGTAACGAAATGCGGAATTTGAGCAATAGATAATGATAAGCTTAATCACAAACTGAATAATGTTATTTTAAACGTTTACATACAGATTGTAATGATGACCATACTTCACTCCGATAACTGAATGCTCGGAACATCTGATATATTGTTCTAAATTTAATTTTAATTTTCGTTAAATTAGAGAATTCACTTTAACATATTATCAATGATAAATCATCTATGATATATTTATATATATTACTTATTCTTGTTTAGATTTCGATTTTAGCTGCGACCGATTATTCACTTGTGTCCATCTTGATGAATCTTTGATATCATTGATCTTTCATGAGAAATTAGTCTAAACTATTTGAAAATGATTAGTGGAAAGGCAATTTTTGAAAAAATCTAAATATCAAAGGAAACATGAACCTTTAAAACTTGAAAAGCTGTTTTGGTGCTAAACTACATGGTCTATCAACTGGTAAAAAAGCGTATATTTTATTTTTATCTCCGCAATGTGTCACTTGCAAAACCAGATCAATCTAAAATCGTGAAAAGAGTTTTTTCTATGTACAATCAACAGAGAAGTCAAAGAAGCATTTCGTTTTATAGATGAATCAAAATATCTACTACTGACTTCAATGTGTTCAGAAAATTTTTGCAACTCCTTCATGAGATTATGAGTGAAGATATATGTTGTGGAGTGAAATTCAATGCAGAATTATCACTGATGAAGGAAAGTGGCTGATTTATTGGATTACTATCACCTGATTTATGAGACTTCTTCAAAACATTCATTTTCCTTCTTTCCACAATAGCCACACACACGCACAGTCAACTTGAAAGTGGAAAATTGAATGTTGAAAGTTGAAACTCGAAATGTGAAAAAAGAAAAAGGAAAATTGAAACCGCAAAATCGATAGTTTGAATTTTAAATTTGAAGTTTTAATTGAATTCAAGTTTCGAGATTAACATAAATGCAGTATTCCTCCTAGGAAATACAAAACTTGTATCCGCATACTTGGCGGTCGTTTCGTTCTTTTTTTTAATCGATACAAGTCTATCAACGTTGATAAGAAAAAGACAATGAAGACACCTATGGCAATTTGTCTTCATTGTTAAGGTTTTCCATAATGTATATCAGATTATTCTATATGATTAAAGAAGTCTTGAAAAAATGGCAATAGTAAAGAGCGGTCTAAAATCTTATGTCGAAGATCTTTTTTCAAAAAATAATGATTATAAAGTTTCTGATCAAGCAATAAATCAAGCTGAATCGTTGAAAGAATTATCAAACGATTTATTTATGAATTAATACAGAATGCTGATGATGCTGAATCAAATAGTGTTTTTATATCAGTTTTGGATACAAAATATTTAATAGTTGCATATGATGGTAAGCGCTGTCTCATTTCGACTCTTTGAATTTTCTTGATTCATCTGACAAATATACGTTTCTTGAAAAACTTCAAATGTTTTCATAGATCACAGCAAGTAAATAGCATGACTAGATATGTAGATATATAAAAATAAAACGAATTATGTTGTCTTCAATAGGTGTTACTATCGATCTCAATAATCTCAGGTGTTCAGCCGACATTAGATGCCCTTTCAAGTCTTATGGTACGATATCTGTCAGAATAGGAGAATGTGTGCGGTTCGAGTCCAAAGAAGGGCTGCGTGTGGGGTGAGGATGTGGGTGGAGAAAATACCCACACCCTCATTACAAATATCACGAAGCGATGGATTAAATTTTTTGCTTCATAATTTTTATAAATAACGACATTAAATTCATTTGAATTATCAAAAAACAAAGATTTCGAGGAAAAAAATCTCTACAATAAAATTTTTATCAATGGAGTCACTTTGACTATCACTTAGTATAGGCATTTTATTAATCCCAACATTGACTACTCTATTGCGCATATTTCCAATTAAGGACAGTCAAATGTATTCCATTTGAAGGTACAATAGTCTATTCCGTATTTTAAATCTTTGTTGCGATATACTGATGTTCTAATAAAAATAAATTATGTTTTCTTATATTTTAACTGTCAAAGTATTTTCTTTGTAAAACAAAATTAATAATAAAGTTTTGTTTTCATGTCTTTTCGTATAAAAATAGATGTTCCAGAAGGAAAGTTATGTACCGAATTGAAACTCTTGTGCAATTCATTTGAAAATAAAAATTTGATAAGCCTGATATCTGACTGGTGAATGTTATTCTGATGAATGCAATCTTCTTCCAATGAATTGTTTATCAAAAGTATCGAATGAGACACACGCGAATTCTGTATAAAAACAAGAAGTTGACTTTTCAGCTATTGATATGCGCTACATTGTTCTCGATATCCTGTGGTTGTCTTTCTTCAAGATCATGAATTGATGAATCATCTTTACTCTTTTGTTTGCAATTATATCATCTCACTGATGCCACTTCTTTCCTGTTTTCTCACCTTGATTATACTGTCTGATTTTTTTCAAGAGCAATCAATTCGTAAGCCAACCTAAACACGATACAATTACAGACGATTACAATAGTTTATTATCGTCAACTCGACATTGGATGAGAATCAGTTTTGCTGACATGTGTCAACAACTATTAATTTTCAGAGTAGTCAAGAAAGGTACATATGATTGACAAATCATACTAATATCATTCTTTTCTCCATCAAACATATAATAAAGTTTTCATTGATTAGATGTATCTGTCGAATAATAAAAGGTTCACATTTCCAACAAACTATAAGAAAAAAAGGATGTTGAGATACGGAGTAAGAGTGAGTGCAATCAGCGGCGGATCTAGGATTTTTTTCATGGGGGGCGATTCCATGAATATGGGGCGATTTTGATCATAACATGTGTTTTGAAGCTTATTAGAGGTAATATCAGCTCGTTCTTTAGCCTTTTCTGCTGGGAAAACCGAAATTTTTTTTTCTGAATGGGGGCGATCGCCCCAAGCGCTCCCCCCCCCCCCTAAATCCGCCACTGAGTGCAATAGCTGATATATACCAAGCGTCGTTCAACAAATAACAAAATTTCAAATTATACGAACTTGATTGATATTAAGAGCTAATTTTACTGACAAACATGTCATAGCGGACTCAGATTTCGAATGGTAGATAATTTGAAATGTATTATTCAACAAAAACTATCAGACGTTGTTTTTGAAACTGATTCTAACTTGTGTATCGTCTCGTAGAAGAAATCGCATTTCTGTGCATAAATGTATATGGGAGATCAACTATATTTAAATATAAAATTAAATTCAAGTTTTGATAATAAGATGAGAATTTCAATAAAAGTTCTACTTATCAACAGTACGTTAAACATGCTCGTAAATAGATTTTCTTTCTAGTCTCAATGTTACCATTAGCTTTCAACTAATAAAACAGCGATTCTTAATAAAACAATAATTAGAAAACTAAACACTTGTATGATATGATAGGTGAGATATCATTAAAGTTATTATTCAATAGATACTATGAAAACCTTATAGATCATACGAGATAAAAATAGGATTAGTAAATGATGGCAATTGAAGACTAAAGAATATTGACCAAGTTCGCTGATACGTGTTTTGATATTTCATACAAACGATCATAAATATTTTGATTTCGCAATAATTTTTTTTAATCGTTTGATAAAAATAAATCTATTTGTAGAATCTTCAAACACGAGTTTTATGGAAATTAGCTCATTTTTGACAGATCTGAATTTGATTACTATAAAGTAAGATGAGATTGTGTCGATGACACGCATATGTGTGAAGAATTCGTGAAGTAAACTACGAAAGAATATATTTGCTCTTCACATATTTTTTGCAAAATATGAAAAATTTTTCTTGAAATATCTGCCTTCATTTTGTAAAATCATTGTTTTTCTCTGCAAGACTTCACGGCAATAGAAAAATACTTAGTATAGACATAGACGAATGACATTCTGAATCTATATAGCGCAGAAAAAGAAAAAAAAAACAAAGAAGTTTTTCTTTATCGTTCTCCAATCTCTATCAGACTGAAAGCGCCTGAAAAATAAGAATCGACGTTCTTCTACACAACAAGCAAATTTGCAGAAAGGAGAAAAAGAAAAAAAATAGGGTCGAACGTTCTTGTTTTTTTTTTTTTCTTTTGGGATTGAACACAACATATATAACATTGAAGGAATATGCAAGCAAAAGAAATAAACATGAATCTTGAATCATTGGCAAACGAGTTACTTATCGATCTATTCGAGTTTTTATCTTCCGCTCATCTTCTTCATGCATTTCATGGTCTCAATTCTCGCTTTGATTCTCTTCTTCTTGTTCATTTTCATACTCATAGTCTCGATTTTCGATCAATATCAAAACATGATTTTCTTGCAATATGTCAACATCTTTCGGTATTTGCCAATCAAATACCTTCACTTTATCTCTCAGATAAAGACGATACTCCTGGACAAGTTGATCAATTTTATTCTCAGGATTTTACTTTGTGTCACTTCACGGCTTTAAAATCATTATCAGTATATCATCTTCATTCTGATGATACAATGAACAAAATACTATTAGATTTACCTTATTTATCTAATATTACACATTTGACTTTTGATGAATGTTGTTTTTCATATGATGAAACAAAAACTCTCACTTTTGTAAACATCATATGGAGTTTACCTAAACTTACACATTGCTATATGAAAATGCAATTTAAACCTCAAATTTATTTTCCTATACCAACCGTAATTTCATCAACTATTGAACATCTATTTATTAGTGATATCGAACCGCAATTTAATCAAATGACTCGTCTATTACAAACTACACCATATCTTCAATATCTTTCTATAGATTTTCATTTCAATTTTTCTGAAGAATATCAATCATCAATTATTACATCAATCAATACCTTGAATGTGTCATTTTTCTCGATAGATTATAATATTTTAGTAAATTTTTTCAAATATACGCCTAATTTATGTCAATTAAAAGTCGATTTACCTGATATGTATATAGATGGGAAAACATGGGAACAAATCATTCAAACATATTTACCTAAACTTAAACAATTTCAATTTCGAATGAACAATGAATCTGATAATGATGATAATGATAAAGAACAGCAAATCAATGAAATATTGAACTTATTTCGAACTTCATTCTGGCTGAACAAGTATCAATTATTTGTTCAATGTGATTGGAATTCACATAGTAACAATATTTTTCTTTATAGTTTACCATATGCTTTTGATAATTTTTATTTTCAATCTCCTATGCTATCAAAATCAACTTATCATTATGATAATCAACAGTGGTCATATAATAATGTACATCGACTTACTTATAAGACTGGTTTATCCGAATGGTTGACTCTATCTCATATACAATTTAATAAAATACGAGAACTTTGTGTATATCTTCCTATTGATGAATATTTCTGGTCAATCATTCCAAAACTTGAACGATTAATATTACTTGATGTATTATCGAATGGTGAAAATGAAAATTATGATATTCAATTACAGACTCTACTTGATCGAGCACCTCATGTATCTATATTACGTCTTCGTAATTGGTCATCAACGATTTCAAAAATTTTACCAATTCGAAAAACAAATCTTTCACTCTTGCAATTAGATTTAATGTGGTATAAATGGTACGATCATGAAGAATGTGCTATGTTGAGTCAGTTATTGTTAGATATTCAATGTAATGTACTATTAATTGATGTTACCAATCGAAAATGTATACTTGAACTTGTTCATACAATAAGCAATCTTCGAGCGCTCAATGTTCGATGTCAAGACGATAAATTGGATAGCAGTACAACATTGATTGATGACGAACTTATCAATTGGTTACAACAATATCTACCATCATCATCGACAATAACTAGAGACTATTATCCAGTTCGTTGTATTCGATTATGGATTCGTTAATAAACTAGAAAATATATTGAGCTAGGAAAATGTAATAAATGTTTTTGTATTATAGTTTTGAAAAAAAAATATTTAGTTTTATGGGTGTGTGTGTGCGTGTAGTGTCGTGAACAAACATCCCCACCCTAACGAATTATTGTATTTCTTTTGACATGAAAGCGGTACATATTAAAATGCAAAAGTCTAGCAGTTGTTTTTACGATAATTCTTTCTTGACATGCATAATATTGACAGACAATTCACCATTCGATTCAAAAGCGTTCTTCGATGCAGATCATTTCGATTTTTGATTGCACCTGAAATCAATTCTTGTTTCATATTGACCTCGATTTCACGTATTATTTCAATATGACTATTGGATATTGATTGATTGACATTTGTCGTCATTTCAGAAGTCGGCTCCATATGATTATTCGAGGTCGATAAATTCGTATCCAATATTGGCTCCAATACTGTTGCTTGCGGATTATTTAAAACAAGTCCATTTCTATCCGTCGTCAATTGTGGAAGCATTTTGTTATAAATATTCTCATCTTTGCAAGGTTCTTCTATGCGACGGTCGAATTGAAGTCGTGCACTTCGTAGTTGCTCAAGAGTTTCAGTAATACTCATCGTACCATTAACAATCTCGGTGATTTCCATACGACCAATGTTAAATGAAAAACAAATGAGCAATGGATGGGTGTCAATAGGAAATGAATCTAGGTTTTGAACTATTTCTTCATCCATGAATTGTTTTATTGTATTTTTAAAGCTATAATATAAATGTTTGACAATTTTCTTGAAACAATCGTAAAAAATGAGCTTTCATTTTTCTAAAGAATTAATCTTCATTTAAAAAACAACTGGTCTCTATAAGTGTGCTATAGTTCTGAAGAAAATTCTCTATCAAAATGCTTACCGTATTTTATACTTCATATAATCACTTTAACTATGCGCAATATTGGTGTACGAACCATTTTTGAACACATACTGATATATTCACAAATAATGATTTAAATAAACGAGTGATTTCAAAAAAAGGACAATAGTCAAATAAACTTGAACGATATTGTTTTGAGTGTGGATATTAGGAATAATACATTTCAGAGCTCCGAATTGAATGGGATAGGGCGAAGAATGCGTCCCATGGGACAAATCGTATTACAAAAAGGCTTTCTGACAATTTAGAGCCAATTTCTGTGACTTCTTCATTCAATTACCGTAGCTCCCCTCCATACATGTATGTTTAGACCAGTTTATTTGATATTAAATTTGTATACTAATCATATATACGTATATTCGAATGGATCCTGATTTTTATAAAATCATTTTAGGCTTAACAAAAAAAAATCTGCCTTTTAGATTTAAGGAGCTCTTTCGTTAAAGTGCTTTTTTATTCATGCAATCAGTAGCTATGCGACAGTCGTTTAAGAATATACGCTATTATGGAATATAGAACTTTGTCAAAATAGTTTTAGATCTTTTTATGCACCTGGAAAAAACATTGAAACATTTTTTATGAAAAATAGTAGAAAAAACCAGTAACGAAAGTATTTATTTTGAAGGAATAAGATTAACAATCAGAATATAGTAAATTCTACTATTCAGTACTAGCATAAAGTACTGATTGAAACCATATTTCAACCAAAAAAGCTTAGATTTTTTCATGATAAAGAGAAGAAAAAATCCCATGGGACCACAAAATCGTCCCATGGGATGGGATGGGATTGTCCCATCCCATTCGGAGCTCTGAAATATCTATTTTACTCTGAAGTTAGGTAAATAAAAAAAAACTGATCAATAAATAAGAAACTTTGAAACTAACAAATTACTACTGTCTATTTTAGACTTCAGTGCAGCTAGTTGTAAACTGACTAACATTAGAAACGAAGCATATAGGAACTGGCGGTTTTATATACAAGATAGATACTGATATTGTTTATTCGAATTTGATTATCTCAGCAATTGATCAATCAGATAAGTTTTCGTTCAACACTTTGTTCAGTACCCAATGAAGATATATTCCTTTATACTTGGAGCTCAACTATAATCATTCAGTAGAGAAAATTGTTTTTCATTGATCTAATTAAAGGCGAAATCTATAGTTGTCGTTGCTGAAGAGCTATATATGATTTTCATAGGACTCCGGCTTCATTCAGCTAAAATTGGACCAATCCGAAAGCTATCAAAATATCGGTAATCAACTATGTTAAAATGAATGACTATGTTTGTTTTTACGTAATGATGAAGCGCTTGAAATAGTTCAGTTGAAAATATCGAGAAAGTCCACATTGAAATACTGGAACGTTATGTAGGGTTTCGAAACAATATTTGCAAATTTTTCAGTCAGATTATTTCAATTAAGTAGTCTGAAATTGAATACAAACACCAGCTATTATCTTAGCACAGTCGATCAATTATCTCTCAACAGTTTCTAAATTGATCGAATATTGAGTAAGCATAATCAGGGATCTTGATAAAACGTTGACAACTCTTCAACAACGAAAACAACAGACTTTTACTTCAAATAGATCAATGCAGAACCATTTTCTCAATCGAAAAATTATATTGGAATTTCAAGTGCAGAGGAAAATTTTTCTTATAGGCATTGAACAGAATGTCAAGTAAAAACTAGTGAACTTTGTAAATTGTTGACGAGTCAGATATAAATAAAGAATATTGACATCTATGTTGTAATTGAAACCGTAGATCTCTATGCGCTTTCGTTGTAGACTTATTCAGTTTACAAACCGACTACACTGGTATATAAAATGGACACTAGTACAGTAAGTGTGGAGTGCCACAACTAGTGAATGCCGAGTAGATGCCTACACTTGCATTCATACTATGATCGTGCACAATTAAGGATTTTCTTAATCAGAACTTTGACGGAATTCGAGCAGCTCCACGGACAATTTTTGTGTATATGGGTGATAGAAGAAGTGATACGTCATTCGCACCGATCTATAGCCAATTCAACTGTCGCATATCTCTGAAAATTGGGTATCTTTGAAAAACAAACAATTTTGATGTTTGTTTTAATCAAGTCAATTGAATTCTACTTACGAATTAAATTCATCCTTATTTGTTCGATCATAACCCTATAAGATGAATTTTTGATTCAGATAATCAATAATTTCGTTGTCACAAAGAATATTCGTACAAAATATATTTATAGCGATACTTTCATGATGGTGGAGATACATAACTAGAGGACATGGCTATAAATTAGAATGTTTCATTATAGTAATTACTAAATATTTTCAAAACTCCAAACATACATGTTCATTAATGAACAATGATTTTGTCAAAGCTTCTTCAAAGCTGCTAATATAAATATCAAGTTGAGAATTGTCATAAATGTCATTGAGTATATGTACTATTCTATCAAATATTCCAAACCGTTCAACTATCGAGTCATATTCTTCTTTGATGAAACGACGGTCTATACATAGTTGGTATTTATCATGGTGAACATAATCATTTTAGATATTGTTCATAAAAAGATTTACTTACGAGGGCATTGTATTATTCGCTCAAGTTTATTTGCATCATGTTTATTTTCCATCACATCTAAGCTAAAGACATTGTCGTGACTTGTATCTATCTAATGAATATGACAAAGTCAAGTATTTGTAACTTGAAGAGTTTGTCATACTTGGTTTTTGTCGTCGTCTTGAACTATATCAGTTTGTTTTTGGTTCGACATGACAATCGAATGAATTTTATCATTTAATTATTATTTTCTTGATGATTTCGTATCTGTTTATCGACCAGACAGTCAGTATAGTTTGATGTAAAATATTTGTTGTTTTCTTCTAACTCAGTGTACAAGCTGGAAAAATACTACCTTTGTCGAGTTTTGTGCATTCTGTTTATTTTGCAACATACAACGTGTACAGAGCAACGAAAAAGAGCAAGAAAGAAAAATATAACTACATCGAATGATAATGAATGAAGGAAATCAATAAACGCCGCAAATGGCCTCCTCACGAACTATGGCTTTAGCTGAAATATATTTAAATAAATTAACAACTAAGAATACGAGTTTTTTTTGAATTTTTATTCTCTTGAACATTTTGGACTGAGCTGTAGTTTATTATCAACACAAATGACGAGTTTAAAACCCAGAAAGTCTATATATGAAACTATTTTTTTCTTTTCCTTCTTGTTTTTGTTTTCTGTAACAATGCAATGTAAAAGCAAATATTCTCTCTTGCATTTTAATGTTATAAAAAACGAAAGCAAGAAAGAAAACAAAAGAATAGTTTCCTATATATATAGACTATTTACCATGGATTTGTAAAAGAGTTAACACACGCTTTTTTCTGTGTGTAAAATAAGATAATCCTTTTTATCACAGAATATCTTAAGAAGTAATACACATAAACCGTCTTGATTTATTTCAAGAAACGGTTACACTCTTAATGGAGATGCGTTTCAAGTTGAGTGCATGCATAATCTATTTATGCACTGAAGTATTAAGGCAAAAACAGTCTTCAATAAAACTCAATGTCGATTCGTAAACATGGCACACCATTGTCTGAAGAAACGACACATGAGTCACCAGTGATTTAGCATTGAAAAATCAATGTGCATCCTAGAGTGGATGTGGATCTGAGTCTTTAGTCGGTTTCAAATCTTACCAACAACCATTCACACCGTAGCTAATCGATAAAGCTAAAATGCTGCCCTGTAAATTTTGTGAAATATATGTTAGCTTGAAATCAACTTTGATGCAACATTACATATGAGAAAATTTCTTTTTCATATGTGTTACATGGAAATCAGAACTCAATAGAATGAAGCGAAGTTCTTTGAGGAAACGGATTTACTAGAGTATGGGTGAATAGGGTATCCACGCACATAGCCAATCAGCGATGAGCATTTCAGATTGTCAAACGATAGAAAAATGAACGTGTGGTTTGAACGCTTGTGACAAAATTCAATTTCCTTTTCAATTAAAGAACTTTCGATTCATCTTGTTTACTTTTCTATGCATATCTGATAGACTTATGATAAAATCATTCGAAATTCACTTCAAATTTATATTTCATTCATAGCCGCTTCTTATAATTTCGAGGCATGATCAAAAGTGAACCTGAGAATATGTCTGAATTGATACTTTTATTTAAAAAAATTATAGTTTAGTAACTGATAAAAAGTATGCAGTAAGATTTTAATTATATTCATTCGAATTCAGAAAAGTATGCTATCAGTTTTAATTTTATATTCATATTAAACTATCTTGTGGGGTTGGCTTATCTTCACATGTAATGCGTTGTAAATAAGATGATTTTTTATTGAAAATATTCTGTTTTTATGTCATGAATTATTTTTTAATTACAGTTTAAACAGTCACTGATCTTGTTTGAACTCAAGTCAATGATCTTCACGTCAAAATACATATCTTTAGGTATTACGGAGCGTACATCATCTTGATATCTAGAAAATCAATAATTATTATATATTTCAATTCGTAAGATATACATAGCATTCATATTCACTCGAGTGAAACAAGATCAGTGGCTAACAAAAATTTCTTGAATGCCATTGAATCTTGTTTAAAAAATATCGTTAAAAGATTACATATTAGCTCAGTTTAGTCGTCCTTTCTTCTATCAGAAGGCACAATGAATTCTGACATTCCTTAAATTTTCGTCGACAAAAGAGATGAAATCTCAATAAATCAATATCATGGTAGTTGTATACTACTAAGGTTCTTTCATTTTACAATATTTCCGGAGTGAAAAAAAAATCTGATGATTTTTGTTCACCTCCTTTTGATTGAATAAAATGCTTCTACTCAAGTAAATGACGAACTATCCAGAAAATTGAATGTAAATATATCATTGTTCTAGAAAAATGCTCGATCTGTTTGTACTGATTTGAACCATTGTGCAACACATCAAAATTCATACATAAAGAGAAAAAAAGTTGCTGAAAGATCTCCCAGCAATGATTAGGAAAAAAGAATCTCAATTAAAACGATGATTAGGTTTACTTTGAGTATCGAGAATTATGAATGCAACAAACAATACTATCCAATGGAGGTAGACGACAACGAACTATGAATTCACTCAAAAGTACTATCACACAATCAACGATATCAAAGCTCTTTTTTCCTTATGACTCACTTACTTTGCAATGTTTTTATGCCTAAGACATTCATATGCAAATATTAGAATGACTAGCTCAGAAACATTCTTCATCTTTCATGGATGTCAACAAAAACCTTTATTGATGTAGAAATAAAAGCAAACTAAGGTGTACTCTGTTACAAAAAAAGAAAGAGAACAAAACATCGCATAAAAAATGTTTTTTTTTCTTTTTCACACAACTTTTTTTTTTGTTGCAAGAAAAAAATTGAATCAACACGACACTGTTTCAACAGCATTTTATTCACACTCACCGATCTTTACTATTATTTTCTTCACATAGATGTCAGTCTCTAAACTTGAATCACTTCCTAATGAAATATTAACTACTATTATCGAGAAATATATTAATGGTATAGATCTACTAAGAGCTTTTAGCTTTCAACTCAATCAACGATTTGATTCACTCATTATTCAATGTCAACAACTTCGTTTTGATTTTATTCAATGTCATCAAGGTGATTTTCGTTTTTGCATAGGTCTTTTACCAGCCTATATCGACAAAATAGAAGAATTAGCCATATCAGAACAAGACACACCTGGTCAAGTATATGCTTTTCTATCTTTTTTTCCATCATTTGCAGTATTTAAACGACTTCGAAAACTTTATTTTCATTGTAATGATGAAGCTCTTGATTGGAACATTGTTGAAACGGCTCTCAATTCCTTATCACAAACGACTATCGACACTTTATCAATAAAAATAAGTATCAAAGAAAATAGATTCTCACTAGGAAATACTATTGCTCGTATTTTTGGCCTAAAATCATTAAAAAGGTTTTCTCTTTTGACTAACTTCAATCGTATGAACTGGAGTAATTTAGCGAAGATCTCTTCAAATATTGAACGTTTGACTATTTCTGGTATCAATTGTAAGTTTGAAGATCTACAATATATTTTCCAGTGTGCTCCTTGTCTTCAATATCTTGATGTGGAAATCGTCGGTAGAGAACGGTCTTCTTATGGTGCAACAGAAAAGCGTACAAAAAAGAATGTCATAGTAATGTCGATACTTCGTACACTAGTCTTAAATTTTGCTTCGGACAGTTCAGTAACGATAGATATGCTGGCACAACATTTTAATTCGATGCCTGTTTTAACACATCTTGAGATTAAAGCACATAGTGAACTTCTTGATGCAAACGCATGGAAGATGCTGTTGGAAACATCGTTACCATTACTGACTCATTTCAGTCTCCGAACAACTTCATCTCGTATCGAAGAAATTGGTCTCGATAATGTGCTCTCATCGTTTCAAACCTCATATTGGATAGAGAAAAAGAATTTCAATCTGATGATAACCAAACATAAACACTGGAATTTCGTCGATTTCCACATAGACACGACAAAATATCACATTCGACATGAATTTAATCAGCCTGTTATTCAGTGTTACATAGCACCCAATCGTACTATTAATAATGATCTTATGACAGTAAATAAAAGCATAAATTTCATACTTGAAAAAATGAACACTATTGTATCAAGCCATTACTACTTTGACAATGTGAAATGGCTGATAGTGCATAACATGGATAGTACTCTATTCAAATGGCTGTACACACACGTAAATTCTTCTAATATCAAGCAAGTCACTATTGGACGCCGGGAAAAAATGACTATCGAATTAAATACACTGTTGACATCTGTCACAAATATGAATTCACTTGATATGAGCTTAGATCTACTTTTAGCTAATATAGATGCTTTCATGGGAAAAATGAATTGTATAAAAGATCTTAATATATCTCTTTCTGAGCATACATTCAGAGAAGAAGATATTATCATTATTGCCAAGTGCTTTCCTTACATTGAACATCTCAAAATCAATACATCAAGCTTAGATAACATTCCACTCTTGAAGAAATATTTACTGCATCTTCGTAGTCTTACTTTCCGCATGGAAAACAATGATATTAGTTTTTTTGACAACTATGAGAGAAAAAGAAGGGAATATGACCTGCGACAAAGAACGAAAGTTTTATTCCAAGTTACAGATAATACGATGACAGTTTGGCTCGACCAAGCTGCATTCGAAGAGCCATTTTGGCGAGCATTCATGGTGAACTCATTATACAACGACTTCATCAATCCTAACTACATTTTTGGATCATTCAGTAACCACTGAAGCTTTTGATACTCAGAAAAAGAAAAAATCCATTTTTCTCCTTTCTAAAATTTTTCAAAAAGTAGCATGCGAAAAATCTATGTCTGTCTTTTTATGGAAGGTTTAATTCTAAATAAAAGTACTTAATCTTGATTCTAACTGAAAGAATGAATGAGCATTATTGATTTTGTCCTTCGATATATATCTTACCGCTAACTGTATTTATTATTGTGGAAACTATAATTTCCAACTAATAGATATTCAAAAATGACTTGATTAATACCGAATCAGTACATCTCTTTACTATTTTTTACGCGGAAAAATATTCTTCGTGAGATTTAACATATTTCAATCGAACTATGAATATTTGTATAATGTGATCTTATTCATAATTATTATTACTTTATATTACAGTTTCTTTTTTAAAGAACTTTCAGCATAAGTAATAATGAAACAAAGAAAGTTGATAATCAATTGATATTCGCTAAGCGGTTAAATAGCGCTCGTCAATTGAAATAAAGCGCAAACCTTGAAATTTCAATCTGTTGATTGTATGAAAATTCTATCTTTAATATGGATGAATTCATTAAACGGATTGTTTAAATTTTTCTCGGTAACATTATCGAATCAATCAAAGTACCTTCGAATATAGGTACATCTGCTTTTATTTTTTGTCAATTTTAACAACAGACACGTATTTCAACTATATAAATAACTAAGGAACATAAACTGGTGACGCATTCGAACGAAGGATCCCACTCAAGTTAACTAACAAGAGGAAGAGTAACTTCATTTGTTCAACATTTGCATAAAATAATGTTTAAGGGTATAGAGGTTCACGTTACAATCGTTTGAGTCTTCAGGATGTGACTGTGCTCTTTTTCTTGGCTGAGGAACATCTTTTTGCATGCCTACGTGGACGCAGCCACAGCCATATCCATCTACCCCTACAGCCTTTATCACAAAAGAACTTACTCGTTAATTAATATTTTAAACAAACCGATGCTTTGCCGATTTGTTTTTCGGTGAATTCATATATTTCAACCAACCAGTTATCGACTAGTCCGATTTCATCGAATCGAAAAAACCTATCGGTCTCTATGAGAAGCAATCTGTAGAAGCTCGAATGTTGAGAGAATCATCTGTCATGTTAACCTATCTAATGTTAGTTTTCGGAATAGAGAGAATATATATATTCGCTCGACATGGTATACTTCAATATACTTAAAGCTGGACTATTCAATGACTTGTGACACTCGAATGTCCAATCGTTCTCAAAAATTTCATTTCTATATTTCAATGCTATTGAATAGAACATGCTAGATTTATTGAAAATAATCTTGTGTCTATAGGTAGAAAAAGACCAGAACAATTTTCTCTCTGATTTCATCAAAAATCAATGATTATCGAAAAGTCGATATTTCAACACATTGAACTATGTAACTTAAAGTGATTTTCAACATTCTCTCAGTTAGGAAAATTAGTAAGTGAGGCATACAGTCAAAAAGAATCTGAACTAATAAAAAGAACATTATTTCATAGAGAAATAAAAGTTGAATGTATTGATAAAAAAATTACGCTTGAAAAAACACATATTCAACGAAATATCCATCTACTATTGAGAAATGCATGCTTCTTGGAACACCAGATAGTCTGACTTTAGATGAAATAAGAATATTTCTCTTCAAGCAACTGATGAATTACTAAGAAAATTGTAAATGGCATCAGACTTTATTAGAGTATACGTAATTGTTAATGCAATGAAGAAAGCTAGCCAATGTACGTAGCCGTTGTTACTTGTCATGAAAAAAAGAAATTTTCATTCCAGTGATATCACTCTCTTTTTTTGTTTAGTTTTTTTTTATTAATTTATCATATCGAATACCGCATGTCTTCTTTTCGTACGTTTTGTTGACATTTTCATATATACGATGTATGTCTTTATAATCTGAAGAAACCGTAATTTTGTCAAAATTTTAGGATATAATCTAGTGTGTATGATGAAGTGTTTTTGAAAATATAGGATTTTCTCTGAAAATCGGCATTTAACAGCCACGGTTTAAACTGCCCAAAAAAATGACTCAAATTTTATCTATTTGAACTTTACTTAATGCAGTGTTTTAATTGACAAAAAAAAAATGCGTGTCCTACTCGCCGCATTAAGAATTAAAAGTTTTCGTTTTATAGGAAAACATCAGCATGGATGTGGAATCCTTTTCTCAAATGGTGTATAAGATTTAATGATTCAATTGATTATGTCGTCTAATAATTTTCTTCTAGATTGATAGCCAAAAATGTCTAGAGCTGATAGACATTAACAGAGTGATTATTTACTTGTTCATATGAAAAGTAGTCATTTTTTAAAACTATCAATCTGAGAAATGATTAATCTTATGTCAGGTGTCAGCTAATCGAAGACAATATTCATCAGAAGTTCTTGTAAAACAAAGAAAAAAAATGACATTTTATTGTAATTTCGAAGTTATATAATATCTGTCGATACAATGTATAATTGTCTCCTAATAATAAATGCTTTCAAAAGTGAAATTATATAAGATATCAACTAGAATATACTGTTATCAATAAAAAATGTATGATTTCTTCTATTGAAAGTTTCAGCTGAAGTATTTTAGAGAAAATATCAATAAAAAGAAAACATCGAGAACTTATCATTTTTCTTTTCGTGATGATTTAAACAAGATAAAATATCTATAAGTTTCAAAGTTTCGAAATTTAATGTTCAGATGTATATTATTAGATATATAATGTATATGTAGTCAAAAAACATCTGAACCCCTTTTTTTATTGTATTCCGTATTTCTTAATTTGTGAAACTGCAAAAAAAACCGGAATAAAACATTTTAGATTTCATCAATGAACAATCTATAAACGATTTTATCTCATCTGTAGATAATCAAGATATTTTTCTAAGGGAAATTTTCAATGAAAGTTATAAAGCGACGATGTCATTTTTTATTTTAAATCATGCCTTACATCTCATTGACCAAAACGAATAAAAAAAAATTGATTCTAATTCAATTTCCGTTACTTATCTATATATAGCGCAAGAAGAGAGTCATTTAATCATCATCTGATTGGCAAACTTCAAGTCTTGAATCTTTACGTGTAACCTTTACAGACAAAGCTAACGTTTCGAATACACTCAACAATTTTTATCAGAAAAAAAATGGGGGCATTTATAAAACATTCTTAAATCAGTAAAACCGACGAAAACCAGCTGGTCTACAACTTATCAATAGAAATGGTTACAAATCTGGATAGTAGTAGACTAATATGAAAAATAATGATTTCAAAGAGCTCTTATCATTAGATACGCGACACTAACAAGTTTTTTTTTAATTATGTAATAAAGCTCTTCATAAAGAGTAAAATTTATCTGAAATAAAGTTGACGAATTCTGAAACATTTTCTTTTAAGACTAAATAAAGTTCTAATGGGAATATCAAGAGGAATATAGAATGGAACAAAATTTATAGGATTTCAGGGAAATATAATTCAAATTCGATTGCAGGATATGATATATTAGTTTTTAAAATGTTAATATTTTTAAACCAGAATGCGGAGTATTGTAGAATGCATATGAAATACTCTATACTCTACTTTTATTAATCTAATTAAGTTCACTATTAATATCAACAACATATCTTCAGTATGTACTACAAGTAGAGTGAGAACTAACTTTTCAAAAGTTGTCAAGACATCAATTGTTTCATATATATATAAACAGTACAAAAAAATAACTTGAATGCCTTGTATTTATCGACATAATGTACAACACATTCAAGTGCGACAGGGAATAAGTGTATTATTTGTTCAGCTAGATTTGAATTAGTGAAACCTATTTTTAAAGTTCAAGGCAATGAAATGTTGAGATCCAGCAGTCTCGAGTACATTTGATTTCGATCAGATCGTTTCCAGGCAATTCCTTCTCGACCAAAATCCAATAGAGAAGGAATTCAGGTTAAAAAGACATATGTTAACAGTTAAACGAAGACTCATTTTCGTAGTAGTCACTGACGTGATAACTAGTGACAAATTTTATTTTAACATGTATCAATGATTGCTTTGCCCAAAAAAAAACAATGAGGGACTACACTCAAGAACATGTATAGTCATTTCAAATAAAACTGTGGTCCATGCTTTGATCTGATAACTGCATTAAATATTAAGATATTTTGTTTTGAATAAATTTCACTTGAAACAGGTAAATCTGTGATGAACCCACAAGTCAATACTATGCGTAACAGAATTTTTTTCAAAAACACAATATTGTTTTAGCTTTCTTATGACTGTCTTCATTTAAATATTCGCAATTCCAATAAAATAATCCTATCAAACTAACCATGAATTGATACAGAAAAATCATTGCAAAATAAACAACAATAGAAATTTCTTTTTTTTCCAATATGATTCACTCGTTATTTTAATGTTTTTATGACAAAAATAGTTATTTTTAATCACTAGAATGACTCATGCAAAAATCTTTTCATTTTATATTCATGCCTAACACGTTTTTCTTGACATCGAAAGAACAGCAAACCAAAGTGCACTCTATTGACAAAAGAAATATAACAAAATGTGACTTCTGATTTCGACATTATTCTAAAAATATGTTTTTTCTTTCTCAGATAATTTTTTGTTTTATTTCAGGAAAAAATTAATTCAATACAACTGCATTGGAAAATCTATTTCACATTACTTGTCAATTTTTACTAACATTTTATTCGAAGAGATGTCACTCTCTAAACTTGAATCACTTCCTAACGAAATATTAGCTACTATTATTGAGAAATATATTAATGGTGTAGATCTACTAAGAGCTTTTAGCTTTCAACTCAATAAACGATTTGATTCACTCATTATTCAATGTCAACGACTTCATTTTGATTTTATTCAATGTCATCAAGATGATTTTCATTTGTGTATGGATTTTTTCCCAGCCTATATCGACAAAATAGAAGAATTATCCATATCAGAAGAAAATACACCTGGTCAAGTATATGCTTTTTTATCTTTTTTTCCATCATTTACAGCATTTAAACGACTTCGAAAACTTTATTTTCATTTTGACAGTGAAGGTATGGATAGGGAGATCATTGAAACGGCTCTTAATTCATTATCACAAACGACCATTGAAATTTTATCGATCATAGAAATGAACGCAGATTTTGAGTCGCCATTGCAAACTGTTATCGCCGATCTTTTTCGCTTAAAATCGCTTCAGCGATTTTCCCTTATGAGCAATTTGGACTATATAGAATGCGAGGATTTGGCAGATGTATCATCAAACATTGAATATTTGACTATATCTGGTATACATGTTAAAGTTGAAGATTTGAGATATATTTTCCAATGTGCTCCTCGCCTTAAATATCTTAATATTCAATTGACCGATGGTGATTATCTCTATATTGATGAACTGAAAATGTTGTTAGACAAGAATATTGTAGTATTATCGGCACTTCGTACACTTGTCGTATATTTTTCTTGGGACAGGTCAATATCCATGGATATGTTAACAGAATATTTTAATTCAATGCCTGTGTTAAATCGTCTTGACGTTATAGCACATAGTGAACTTTTTGATGCAAACGCATGGCAGATGTTGCTGGAAACATCATTATCATCATTGACTCATTTTACTCTCCGAACGACTAACTCTGATATAGAAGAAGCTGATCTTCACAATTTAATTGCTTCGTTTCAAAGTTCATATTGGATAGCGAAGAAGAATTTCAATTTAATGATAACGGAACATGAACACTCGGGTTTCAATAGTATTGACATACACAAGATGAAGCACCATGACAAATATAACATTTATCAACCTGTTGTTCAATGTTGGATTGCGCCCAATCCCTCAATTAGTAATGATCTTATGATAGTAAATGAGAATGTAAACTTGAAACTTCGCGACATTAATACTATGGTACCATGTCATTACTACTTTAACAATGTAAAGTGTCTTATAGTGGATAATATGGATAGTTTGGTATTCAAATGGGTGATAACGCATGTAAATTGTTCTCGAATCAGGCAACTTGCCATTGTACATATACAAAAAAATAACAATGGATTAACTGCACTCCTTCCATGTCTCACAAATATAAGTTTGCTTCATATAAGCTTCGATGTACTTTTGGCAAATATAGATGCTTTCATGAGCAAAAGCAATCAAGTAAAACACCTTGACATTTCTCTTTCTCAACATTCATTCAACGAAGCAGATATTGTTATTATTACCAAGTGCTTTCCTCACGTCGAACATCTAAACATTAATACATCAAGCTTATATAATGTTCCACTATTGGAGAAATATTTAGTACATCTTCGCAGTCTTACTTTTGAATTTGCGGAAACTGGTTCTCGATTTTACAACAGTTTGGAGAGAAAAAAATGGAAATATATCTTGCGACGAACAGCTAAACTTTTATTCCGTGTTGAAGACAACACGGTGACAGTTTGGATCCATCAAGCTATATTTGAAGAATCCTACTGGCAAATGTTTGCCGTCACACCTCCACAATCACCAACTTCATCAATCCAAACTACAACTTTGGATAGTCCAGGAATCACTGAAGATTCTGACACACAGAAAAAGAAAAAGGCTAAAATTGTTTTTTAACTTTGTTCAATTAGCAGCATACAAAAACCTTCTTTTTTTATGAGATACTTGATTATAAATAAGATTATTTAATATTGCTTCTAACTAAATGAATGAATGATGAATATTGATTTTTCATTTCTACATGTAAGTTACCCATAATCACATTTATTATTCTAGAAAATCAATGCATCATTATGTAAACAAAAACTAAATCCACATACATACAACTCATTATTTGATTTTTTTTTTCTTAAATTATTTTCGACGGTTTCGTCATATTTGTTAGGTGCAGAAAATTCCTCTTATAATAACATGTTTTCATCAGACAATGAATATTTCCATAATATGATGTCATTTGTATTCATCATTGGTGTATAGTAAAGTTTCTTTGAAGTTACATGAACAAAAGAATTTTGATTGGCTTGATCATGTCATCCATAGAAATTCACAGTGCATTTATCGAATTCGTTCATATTGAAGACAAAACTTTCATTATCAGTTTCAAAACGCAATCAATTTCCGATGCTTCATAACCTTATGAGTAGCTGTGAGTTTTCTCTTTATCCACAGTTATTCATCCACGTCTAATTCCACAATACGTCTTTCAAATGTATCAAACTTGACCATGTCTCTATTTTATTTTTTTGAGTTAGATCTAACTATAGAACACTCTAAAGACGAGAGTATCATCTATCGTGTTACTTTGTCGATGTTTTTGTCCCTGATAAAGAAGATGTATGTATTCGCTTCAAATTTTTTAGTTCAAGATATTTAAATCTAGACAATTCATTGATTAATCGTGCTGAACCAATGGAATAGGAAAATTTATTTTGATTCCATTGATATTTAATATACGGATATAAGTTTTCGTACATTCATTTGTTTAGAGGTCCAATCGTTTCTGAAACTCTTATTTTCCTATTTTAATCTTACTCAAGAAACATTCTCGATGCATTCATAGTAATCTTATGTCTCTTCGTCGAAAAATGAACATCAGTGTCAGATTAATCACTCTGGTAAATTGGTGTCGCAAGTCTCCAATTCATGAATTACACAACAGTGAGATCAGAACAACTTGTCCTCTTACATCTTAAAAACTCATTAATCATCGAGTAGCCTATACTTAAACGAACTGTCTTATGTTTATTTTGTGTGAACTTATCATATTGTACCCTGAAAGTCTATTTTTTTCATACGTTCTCGTGATATTTCATAGGTGAGATGTATGTCTGAAAAATTTGAAAAATTCTTAATTGGAATATAATATTTATTAGTAAGTGAAAGGTGAATATTTCAACTCAACCCGATATCTATAACACAAATAAATATTGTTGTAATTTGTCAGTAACTTCTAAAAATTTATGTGGTTTAAAGTTGAGATTTCTGATGTTTCTAATGAATTATTACGGTATATTAATATTAGTATTGAGAAATTGCAGTAATGTCAAAAGTAATGATTCAATACTGGAATTTCCATAGCAACATCGAGATGTATTGTTAAATGCAACTATCGAGAAAAAAATCTCATTTCCAATTTTCTTATGTCTTCGTTGAAATACTCGCAATTCAGATAAAATAGTCACATCAAATTAACCATGAGTCGACAGAGAAGCATCACTGCAAAATAAACGACAATAGAAATTTCTTTTTTTTTCACTATGATTCATTCGCTATTTTGATGTTTTTATTACAAAAACATTTATTGGTAATTACTAGAATGACTCATGCAAAAGTATTTTCATTTTTCACGCATGCCTAACACGTTTTTCTTGATATCGAAAGAACAGCAAACCAAAGTACACTCTATTGACAAAAGAAATATAATAAAATGTGACTTCTGATTTCGACATTATTCTAAAAATATGTTTTTTCTTTCTCAGATAATTTTTTTGTTTTGTTTCAGGAAAAAATTAATTCAATACAACTGCATTGGAAAATCTATTTCACATTACTTGTCAATTTTTACTATCATTTTATTCGAAGAGATGTCATTCTCAAAACTTGAATCACTTCCTAACGAAATATTAGCTACTATTATTGAGAAATATATTAATGGTGTAGATCTACTAAGAGCTTTTAGCTTTCAACTCAATAAACGATTTGATTCACTCATTATTCAATGTCAACGACTTCATTTTGATTTTATTCAATGTGATCAAGATGATTTTCATTTGTGTATGGATTTTTTACCAGCCTATATCGACAAAATAGAAGAATTATCCATATCAGAAGAAAACACACCTGGTCAAGTATATGCTTTTTTATCTTTTTTTCCATCATTTGCAGTATTTAAGCGACTTCGAAAACTTTATTTTCATTGTAATGATGAAGCTCTCGATTGGAACATTGTTGAAAAAGCTCTTAAGTCGTTAGCAGACACGATGATTGAAACTTTATCAATCAAAGCAATGAGTACAAACAATAGATTATTATTGAGAAATGTTATTATCGATCTTTTTCGCTTAAAATCGCTGAAACGATTTACACTTATGAGCGTTTCGAGTTCTGTAAATTGGAGTGATTTGGCGAATGTCTCTTCAAATATTGAACATTTGACTGTTTCTGGTATCTATTGTAAATTTGAAGATCTACAATATATTTTCATAAGCACTCCTCGTCTTAAATATCTTGATGTTGATTTAATCAATATAATATATCTTCATTATGATGAAATAGAAAAAAATATTATACCAATGTCTACCTTTCGTACTCTAATCTTATATTTTGAACAAGACAGTCCAATAACGATGAATATCTTAAGAGAATATTTTAATTGTATGCCAGTTTTAAAACATCTTGAAATTAAAGCACACAGTAAACTTCTTGATGGAAATGCATGGAAGATGTTGTTAGAAACATCGTTACCATTATTAACTCATTTTATTCTTCGAACAACTCTATTTCGTGTACAAAAAACTGGTCTTCATAATGTTCTCGCTTCATTTCAAAACTCATATTGGTTAGCGAAAAAGAACTTCAATATAATGATTACCCAACATGAAGTTACGCATTTTAATACGCTCGATATAGACAAGATGAAACACCATATACGATATGAATTTGATCGAACCGTTATTCAATGTTGGATAGCACCTAACCGGTCTGTCAATGATGATCTTACGATAGTCAATAAAAGCATAAATTTGAGACTTGTTGACAAGAGCAGTGTTCAATTGTGTCATTACTACTTTGAAAATGTCAAGAGCCTTATAGTGGATAATATGGGCAGTTCGGTATTCAAATGGGTTAAAATACATGTAAACTGTTCCCAAATTAGACAACTCGTCATCATATGCTCAGAAAAAAACACCGACGTAGTAACTGAACTCCTTGCATGTCTCACAAATATGAATTTTCTGTATATAAGCTTCGATGTACTTTTTGAAAATGTATACACTTTCATGAGCAAAATGAGTTGTGTAAAACACCTTGATATATCTCATTCTAACCACCCATTCGACGAAACGGAAATTGTTTTGATGGCCAAATGCTTTCCTCATGTAGAACATTTAACAATCAATACATCGCGTTTGTGTAATATTCCAAGATTGAAGAAACATTTGATATATCTACGTAGTCTTTCTTTCAAAATCGTCAACAATATTCGGAATTGTTTTGGTAATTATGACACAAAAAAATGGGACTCTGAACTATAACGTCAAACTAAACTTTTGTACCAGGTAAAGCATGATACAGTGATAGTATGGCTCAACAAAGCTGCATTTGAAGAACCTTTCTGGCAAACATTTGACACTTAGAAAAACTCAAAATTCTCTTTTCGGTTCATGAAACACTTCATTGTAAATAAAAGTACTTATAATCTTAATTCTTACTAACTGAGTGAAGCAACCTTCGTTAATTTTGCCTTTCTACTTGTACCTTACCAAAATATGTATTTATTAAGGTGGAAATTATAAATCCACACATATACTATTAATTCTTTGTTTGCTTTTTTTCTACTTAACTCACTTACATGTATTTGTCGATATATTTTACGCGCAAAAAGTACCTCTGGAAAAATAAATGTTTTCGTCCGACGATGTGTATTCTCATGAGATGTTTTTATTCATAATTCGAATTTAGTTAATCTAAAAGAAGAGTTCAACCGCAAAAGTGATATAAAGATATGTTGGATTTGAAAGTAATTTGAATCTTATAATGAAAATTTTGCTTCTAATTTGTATGAGTTCGATAAATGCATTGTTAGTTTCCATCAGTAATGTGATCAAGTCAATCAGAACTTCTTTGTTGATGTAACTTCGAATATTGATGTATCTGTTTCTATTGTTCGTCGATATTATATACCTTCATGCATCTCAACTCAATTACTTGTCATGAAACATATTTTGTGATGCGTATGTAAACGAACAAGCCCACTAAAGATACCTCGCACCAGGAAATTTAGTTTTATCTGTTCAATTTTTGGAGGACATGATATCTAGCAGACTGAATAGGTCAATTTTATTTGTGATGAGCTAACTGCATTTCTGGAAAAAAAGATAAAATGGGTTAACTATCTATAGGATGAAGAACCAAATCTCGAACTCACAGACTTTGTTTAACAAGATCTTGTGACTCATTTAACATATTTGACTACGAAGAGAAAATAAAAGTAAATGCTAATTCTATTATTGAAGATGATAAGCTTTTTTCGAAATTACTTATATTTGCGAAGAAAATAGTAGTTTTAATTTTCAAGTCGAATGTTTGCAGCTTCCTTCCATTTTCCATTACAGACCTCAGTAGCGAAGAAAGGCACTCAATGATAATCGAAAAGTGAATGGCTGCAAAACGCTTGTAAATGTTTTGAAATAGAGCAGTTTTTGATTTTTGTGCAGATAAAATTGTATATTTATTTCATATGTCAATGATGATGGATCGTGATGCATTGATCTGCCGCAGCTATTATATGATCAACACAAAAAGCGTCAATGCTTCAAGTTAAAATTTTAGAAAGTAAGCACTAACAATATTTGTGAGTTGATCAAGACATATAATATTTCGTTATGACCTGCTTCTGTAGACATAATGGATAATCAGAACAACTTTATTTTCAATTGAATTCTATGCTTATAATAATAACAATGTTAAATTAAGAAAAAACGAAACACGAAAATGAAAATTAAAGAGTGAAATGCAACAATGCAAATAAAAGTTGGTCTAAATGCAAAAAATAACCATAGCAGATGCTTATTCTGGTGATATTTTTACCATAGGCATTTTGTATTAATGTAATCAGGCTAAAGAACTCATGTGAGTTAACTTTTTTCTCGACTTAGAAAATAAAGAAAACGCTAGAAGTTTTCTATTATGAACTATAGCTTCTACGAAATATTATCAGTTCGATAAAATAATTGGCATTTTATTTTATTCAAGCGTACGGATTGCAGGAGCATATATATATACTTCAAAATGAAACTCTTTCATACTTTATTGACGATATTTCTTTCCAATTATTTATCATAGAAGACAGTTCGGATGACAAAATCATTTGCGACATCGAAACAAAGCAGTATCTAAAGCATTTGTATTTCGATCGTGAAAAATATTCAATAACAACTTCTTGAATAAGATCAGGTGTGGGTGTGGATGGTTTAAGCACAGATTCACATCCACATCCACACCCCACATCGACACCCACCCACACAAAATGAGATATTTTTGACCCTTGTTTGGTGAATATCTCGCTTAAACGTCATGGTATAGGGCTGAAGATTGTATCAGAGCTCCTCCATTACAGCTCTAACATATTCTGAAAATTTCAGCCAGTCTGGATGTACCTGGACTGAGATCGGTTTTTTAAGAGGTGAGGCCTTAATTCATATAGAATTATGAAGAAGACTGAAAAACAATTTATTCATTATGAATCAACGGCTATTTATTTTGAATGAATGATACTCATTCGAATGAGAATTTCGTCCACTTTCAGTGCACTGTAATTAGACACAGTTCATCGGTGAGATTCTGCTAGGTTATTATTCGTTGAAATCTTAGATTTCTCTTTCGAAAAAGACTAGTATAGATCACTTTGTATATAATAAATTTCTTCATTCTTTTTTATTTCATCAAAGCATATAAAACGATTCTTCAACAAACTCAAAATATCTAGTCATGGCTTGATTTGGTTTTCTTTTTAGAATGGTGAAGATTACTTGAACATAAATAAAACTTCCTCTCACCCCATTATGTATGTCTGGGGGGTAGAGTGTAGAATCCATCGGGTTCGAGCCTGAAAATTCTGAATCGACCGAGTCCAAGTTCGAAAATTTTTGGACCCGATGGGCTCTACTCACAAAATATTAATCAACCAGGCTTGAATCCAAAAGCTTTATCGACAGAATTCAGATCCGCGTCCAACAACGTTTTATTGATCTGATCCGAATATAACAATTTCTACTCATCGAGTTCGGATCCAAAAATGCATGGAACCGATGAGCTCTAGTGAAGTATGGGTGTGGGTGTTAGCCGACTCTTCATTCATACTCACAATCACACCCACACCCTGAACTTCTTTGGCGGTTGGAGCAAATCCAAATTAACAAATCTTTTGTCCATATCTAAAGAATGCCTGGATGAATGTACTGGATGGTATCATTCTCCTGAAGACTTTGTTGCTAATAAAAATATTTTGATGGGAGGTGTCCGAGGACAAATGCAGATCTCCAACCATTTGTTAACAAATGGATTGACAAGATGTGATCTACAAAAAACTCCTGTATGTGGAAGAAAAATTCATAGAATTGAAAAATCTGGTTGTTTCTATGATTATACAGATGTCATAAAGTATAGTGAACACATATTACAAACAACAACAATTCAAGTTTGGCATCCAGATACAAAAATAGACCAATTACCATTTCCAAAAACATTTAATACAACAACAATATCTTCAAATGTTATAAAAGTTTGCGAAGATATCTCAGTTGTTTGCCATGATTACAAGTCATTAGACAATATTTGGTCACCATTTTTTGTTTGCCATTCAAAAAATGGAACAAAAACATATCAAGTTACAGTTGCGAATAAATTAGTTCACAATGGTGTAAAAATGATTGCTATATGTCACTATCAAACAAACGAATTTGATCCTAATCATATATCCTGGAAAATTATACGCAAACAACCTGGAGCACCTGCGTGCCACTTAACGTCTCGTGATACCTTTGTATTATGCAAAAAAGTTTGAAAACCTATCTGGAAAAATTAACATTTAAGAACATATTGTTTTTTATCACCAGACTCTCTATAGGAGCTGCCACTTGAACGAACGAGGGAAATTATTCATTTATATCTAAACAAGCGAGAAATGTATTTTGTCTTTCATAGATATCGTATGTCTTTTGTTTTTGTGTGAATTTTTAAAAGGCTGGAGTCAACGAGACCGAGCTGTAAATAAATGCTACTTACTTAACAGTACTAATAAAAACCATACAATTTCTTGAAATTGTGAGAATTCAATAAAAGATAATACTTGTTAACCGATATTGGCATCTAGATTGAAAGTTACACGACGGAGTTCACTAACTTCAGTCCCTGTAGTGTCAGAATCACTACTGAAGATACAACTAATGAAGATGCTAAGTGCTACAATGAAGGTGGCAAATGAACACAATGCGAGACATAAGAGTTGAATGCAAATGAAGATCCAAAAATACATTTGATGAGGGTGCGGGTGTTGTTGAAGAGAAGACCAATCCATATCTCACATCCACACCCACCCTTATAGTCAACATGTTGGTTTTGTTTGGTAAACTTCATTAATAATTATGACTAGTAGTATAACAGATGCATAAAGACTTACTGGTGATGAAGATAACGAAGAAGAATTAGTTTCTATTGAAAATTTACCAGCATCATCAATACGTGAACCGAAAAAAAAGAAATTGAAGAAAGGTATTTTCAACCGAGAATGGTTGAAAATCGTTGAATATCAGCGATTTTTAAAAGAGTACAAGTCGGATTCGTCTGAGGCTGCATGTGCAGTTTGTAATCAGCAGTTTTTTTTAAGAAGCTTATTTGTTTTTTTATATTCATTACCTTGCAGTAATGTTTATGTCGAATCAACATTTTCACAAATGAAGCATTTAATAAATGATGAAAGATTTAGTACGACAACAGAGTTTATATCAGCGAAATTAAAAATACGATTAAATTTTACTTTATCGTATACTGAATTATATAAACATATATTAGATAGTGAAGAATTATTAAGAGTCATCAAATCAGATGAAAAATATACATTTAAAAAAAACAACATATTCAATAACTATATTTATTTGTTTAAGTCTTTTTTTCTTGGTTTTGGTCAATAAATATCAGATTTCTTTGTAAAAATCTATTGTTATTATAGTGAATCAAATCTTAAACATATCCTAATATCAAAAACATACTTTCTGCTTTTCAGAGCTTAAAAGGTGGCAGGTCTGCACCACACCTATCAAGATCTTTTTTTACTTATAAAATGCAGATAATCATTTTCAATGCATTGGAAATTATATATTGATTGCTAGAGTTATGTAACAGATCTCAATATTCTGAGTAATCCTATGTTGATTTCTTAACATCTAATTGATAAAAGATTAATTTGTAGATTTAATTCAATAGATTTCTAAATAATCAAACGGCTATTTCTCACCCAAAATGTTTGTTTATTGTAATTTTTTTTTCTTAAGTAACAAAAGAAAGTTGAATGTTTTTCAATTATTCAATATTTATTTTAATTTTACTGTTATATATTTATATCGAATTGTTAAGTTTTAAAATGATATATTGTATTCAAAAAGATGATAGATTGAATCTAATTTAAAATAAATGTAACTATTTTAGTTCATTTCAGTCTTTGTTTGAAATCGAAATTTCGTTAATCTTTTGATAAAACACATATCTATTTTTAATATATAAAACAGTAGATTTCTTTTATTAAGGATAAATTTATACTGATATAACTTTTTCTTGTTTTTTTCCTTATTCTAGGTATTCATGTAATAATGACGAAGCAAAAGAAAAGCAAATAAATATTAATACACGTGCCACATTTTCTCTTTATATCACTTCTTACATATAACATTTTCTTTTTCTTTGATCAATTTAATCTCCGTTCTAACAGCATTTATGTCAACATACAAACTTTATTACTTTAATAATCGTGGTCGTGGTGAAGTATCTCGTTTAATATTTGCTGCAGGTGGTCAAAAATATGAAGATATTCGTTACGAAGATGATGAATGGTTATTACATAAAGCTAAAATGCCATTAAGTGAAATGCCTGTACTTGAATTTGATGGTACAAAATTACCACAATCAAAAGCTATTGCTCGTTTTCTTGCTAAACAATTTCAATTAGCTGGTAGAAATAATCTTGAACAAGCCAAAGTCGATGCTGTTGTTGATACAATTGAAGATTTAATAACAAAATTAATACCAGTTTTTGATGAACAAGATGATGCCAAAAGGGAAGAACTTAGTAAAAAATTCTTTAGTGAAGAACTTCCTAAACATTTACAAAATCTCGATGTTTTACTTAAAGAATTTGGTAATGGTGGTTTATTCTTCGTTGGTAATTATTTAACATGGGCAGATTTATATTTTTATAATTTTTTCGAAACTATTCTTGGAATTAATGAAAATTGTTTAGATACTTATCCATCATTAAAACAAAATCGAGAAGAAGTTGAAAAACAGCCAAAAATTGCAGAATATCTTAAAAATCGACCTAAAACATCAATTTAAGCAAACATTATTGATGGATATTCATAGATGATTTTTTTTGTTCTTTTTGTTCTTCTGTTAACATTTTTTTAAAAATATATATCATTAAAACACAGGTCCAATGAGTCTATTTTCAATCTTAGTGTATTTTATGTCAAGTTTCAAATATTTGCGAATTTATATACCCATTACATTACTGCATTTATTCAATGAACTAGGAAAATACGGAAAAATCACTTAACATATCCGTTCAATTAGATTCATTCGATAGAGATGCGTTTTTTTTTTCTATAAAAATCTCTAAGAACATCTTGACTATCTAATGTTTTTCTGTTAATGAATGTCGTAAATATCAGTTTTTTTTTGTTGAACTGAAAAAAGCTAAAATCGATGAAAAGAATTTCAATTGAAATGACGGCAAACTTTTAGACTATGGTTTATGCTTTAGTACCAAACATACACTTTATAATATAGAAGCTAGGTGTGTGAAAGTTTTCGATCAAAGAACGAAACTCGCTACCTGGCTACTAGCGATCATTCATCTAAAAAATTCAAAGCCTATAGTGAAGACAGAAATGTTCATGGCTGCTGCGGATAGATACGGCCCTTTAACTTTAAAAAAGCTGTTAACACAATCCCTGCGAGATTGAAATGTGAAGCATGATCAAGCGTCTCACAATATATCTGTTTGTCATGGTCTGTGGTGGAGCGGAGGAGGGTTGCTAGGACGTTTGTTACAGTCTGCGACTGAAGGGGGCACGCTTCCTACAGCATCTGTCACGGTCTGTATGGATGTGGGTATCCCCTTAACTCACACCAACACGAACACCCACGCCCACCCACCCACACCGTCACCCATACACATCCATACCCAGCCACACCCACACCCCACACCCACATTCCACACCCCCCAAACCCACACCCCTACGCGCATTCTCTTCATCCGTTTATTTTAAAAAAAGCTGTATTCATTAAAATGAATTATGTTTGTGAACATTTCACAAGTTTATAATAATAACCTTTTTGATTCATCAGTTGTTCATGATTTCCTGATTCAATAACATGTCCTCGATCAATCACATAGATGACATGACAGTTTTTAACTGTTGTTAATCGATGCGCAATAGTTATAGATGTATAATCCTGTTGCGCTTCATCTAATGCGTGTTGAACAATCTAAAGAACAACAAATGGTTAATAATTTTACAAGTTATTTCTACAAACTTTTTCATTTATCGTATCAAGTGCTGATGTCGGTTCATCTAATAAAAGTAGATTAGCATGTCTGACTAATACTCGTGCTATAGCTATACGTTGCCGTTCTCCACCAGATAATTGAAGTCCACGAGATCCAACCATTGTTGAATAACCCTAATTTTAATAATTTTCTATTTCAATTTCAAAACAAAATAAAACCAAGAGGGTTGTTTCCAAACCTTTGGTAGCCTAACAATAAAATCGTGTATATTTGCTCTTTGAGCAGCAAGAATCATTTCTTCATCGGATATATTTCTTTACAAATCTCCATATTTAATATTATCACGAATTGAAACATCAAATAAAATTGCTTCTTGAGAAACAAGTGCCATTTTAGCACGTAATTCTTTTATATTCATTTGTCGAATATCTTTCGAGTTCATTATCTATTATCAATCAAATGTAATATAGGATGAAAAAACAAAAAGAAAACAACCAGTAGACTTACTATACTTCCATGAGAATAATCATAAAATCGTTCAATTAATTGAATAGCCGTACTTTTTCCACAACCAGAAGCACCTTTATTTAATTTTACGATTTTAAATTTGAAAGAAAAAATAATAAAAAAATAAAACTCACCAATTAATGCAATATGTTGTCCTATAAAACGGAAAAAAATTCAATGGAAAATATTTCAACTCTTCGCTGTAATTTACCTGGTTCTATTTTCAAGGAGAAATTTTTTATAACTGTCACATCAGATCGATTTTCATATGCAAATGTAACATTGTTAAATTCAATACCATCAAAACCTTTCGTTTCTTCTTTGTCATTCTTCAACCGAACAAAACTTATTCATATTTTGTTTTCAAAAATTCTTCTTACTCTTGATTGAACATTATCAAGGTCTTGAGATTCTAGATCAAATAACTTAAATAGTTTCTTTGCAGCAGATCGTGCTTTTGCATAATTAGGAGCCTAAATATTTAAAATGAATGCAAAAATTTTAATGAATCTCCCCCTCCCGCATAAGAAGACTTCGGGTCTTCTAATACAACTTTTACATAAAGTTTTTGAAAAGGTTTTTCAATGTAAAATTATTTTACATTTCATATTGCAGTTTTTACAAAAAGTACTCTAGTAAACGCCTGCTTATCAGATTATGTAGTCATGAGTAATGATGTACTTATGTGGCGCTTCTCGTATGAGTGATCTATTTTTCTAGTGTCATTACCACAACGCTTATCCAATTAGATTTTTGTAACCTTCTGAAGTTTCGTCTTCCAATAGTACATTAATGTCTATGGAAACACCTAAAAATCTATCAAAGTTGTTGAAAACACAGATCTCTGCGTTCCTGTACTAAAAACATGACAAAGATGTTTCAGGCGTGCGAAAACATCCACATTAATCTGTGTAAAAAGAAGTAGATTGTTTGCCTAGAATATAGTGTACTTCTTCGAGAGTCGAGTTTCTATTCATACTTTTCGGAGCCATTCATAAGATGATTCTACACAAAATTAACGTGCTAATTATAAGCAGTGACGTCAAATTTTGATAGTGTTTCTAATCAGAAGCTTATTTATATACGCTTACCAATATACTTAATCATTTCGATGTCTTTATCCGAGGACTAATCGGTGCAAAATTTGAGTTTAGGACTATAGCAAGTCGAATGTAAAGAAAAAATTGATAAATAATTCAAAATATCTTATGGAACAGTTGTGATTTTAGAATTTTCACTTATCGTCCAACTCTTTTCTACTGAAATTGTTATTATTTTATTTGAGAAAAATAAAAAATATAATAACATATAGAGAACAACAGTATTTTAGAAAGAGTATGCTGTTCAATGCTCCTTCTGGTTCCATTCTAATGAATAGGAAATATTCCGCAATTATTGGACAAAAATGAATATCTTTTATCGACATACATTGAATGTGAAAGCAGAAAAGATCTCAGAGAAAAGTTTTTAGAGTTTTTCCTTGATCGGATTAGAAGACTCGAATTCTCTAATATGTCTTTCAATTTTTTGTCCAATGGTGAGGAAGGAAAATCAAATTACCATAGCAAATGATTGACTGACAGATACAGCACCAAATGTAACAATAGAAAATATTCTAGAATATAAAACTGCAATAAATGACAAAAAATAATAAGATAAAAATTAATTACAAAATAATATGTTCAAATAAGATATAATTTTTTCTCACAAGATATCCTCCAAAACTAAAAAGAGCTGCTTGAGCAAAAAATGATATTGAATTTGCAAGAGCAAAAAGTAATGCATTCAAATGTGCTCGAAGTTTCAATTTTCTAAAAAAAAAAAAGAACATTTTTTCTTTTAAATATATTTTGTTTTTATTTAATTCTTTTACTTATAAGGTTTATCAATAATTTGTTTATATTTTTCAAGAAAAAAATTTTCTTCTGTTAATTGTACAACTGTACGAATATTTTGTATTACTTGTGCAACAATCTATATAAAAGATACTCCATTGCAAAAAAACAACAAAAAAACATTTTTTTTCTTCTTCTTACATTTGCGGCTTTTTCCATTGCAATAGAATCCATTTTAACAAATCGTGATAAAACTTTGGTTTGTAACCAACCGGATAAAATTAAAAATGGAACAAAAATACACATCAATAATGTTAATTGCCAACTTGCATATAAACCAAGAATAATACCAATTGCTAAATTAGCAAAACTTCTTAAAAAGATTTCTAATAAAACTCCTGTCGCCTAAAAAATAAAATTTCAAAAAATAAATCGATTAATATATCAAAAAATAGATAACCTCATGTACAGCTGATGCTTCTGTTGATAATCGTGCACAAAGTATTCCTGTACTATTCTCTGCTCGATCAAACCAAGAAACATTATTTTTTAACATTGTTTGATATGCACGAAAACGAAGACGAAATGTTAAACCTTCACTTGACATAGAAAAAAAGAAACTCTTTTAAAAATAAAACAAAACAAATTTAATCAATAATTGATAAATATTCTTCATTATACTTGTAAAAACATTGTAACTAATATAACTATACCACAAACAATAAATAATATAATATAAAAATTAACATTACGAATGTGTTCAGATAAATTACATTCGTCTAATACCTATTTATTATAATTTCGATCATGAAAATACATTTTCAAAACAAGATTATAACTTACTGAAACCAATTTACTAAGAATTAATGCAAAATCTGGTTCAATTCCTCCGTTAATTAGAGATGTAATGCAACCGAATAAAATATAAATCCATTCGGGTTTATTTAAAGCAAGTAATTTTAAAAAAGAAAAAATAATTTTTTTCTTTTTTTGAATTTCGTTCTTAATGAACATTTAAAAAAATATTTCATGTTCAATTTAATAAAATAAAATAATATACAGGGTGTCACACAATTATAAGACTTCCTCTTGAGTTTTGAGAACAATAAAAATTTGCTTAATTAAAGAGGATTTCATTCCTAATCTAATGTCATATCCATGGACACCTAGTAACAGTTTATCATGTGCCATATTGGTTTCAATTCGATCGATTAGCATTAATGAATAAATTCAAAAACTTTTGAATTTCAGCTGTCTCATAATTATAAGACCCCCCTAAACGTAAAAATATTCAATTAATGCTAACTTTACCAACTCAAATGATTCTTTTGAGGATCCATTCGAAAGAGGAGACATTCAGCTATATGCTGGAAAAAAAATAAATTGACGAATACTAATGTCGGATTTTTTTTAAAGTACCAACGACTATTTTTTGAATAACTTTTTAACGGTTCTAGTTATAAAGCTCGAGTTTTCACCATTAGAAAAAGCAAGTCGGGGGACGTCGATCTCTATAAAATGCATTAGGTTTACGAGTCTTTTGTATGGTTGTTTGCAATCGAGTATCTTATCGGTTGTCTATTTTCATGAGTTTCCATGACAATTTAACATCTAATTAGACCAAAACATAGCCTAAGCCGTTCTACATTTGTGCCAAAATGTTCACATTTTAACATCAAGGCGTAAGAAAAAAAAATCAAGGATAAAATAGTAAAATTTGAAAATTTTAACACAAATGCAGAACGATTTAGGCTACATTTTGGTCCAATTAGATGTTAAATTATCATGGAAACTCATGAAAATAGACAACCGATAAGATATTCGACGGCAAACAACCATACAAAAGACTCGTAAACCTAATGAATCTGATAGAGATCGACGTCCCCCGACTTGCTCTTTCTAATGGTAAAAACATGCGCTCTCTAACTATTGTCGGTGCCAGAATTAAATAGGGGTGGGTGTAAGCTCAATAACTCGACAACCGCAATAGCTAGCGATCTGCGGGTGTGGGTGGGGTGTGGGTGTGACATTTTCTTCATCTATACCTACACCCACATCTGTGTTTCCGTCATAGTTCAACACAAACGCACCTATCTAAGTTTAAAATACGTTTCATGATTACATGGAGACTATATTATTGGCTACTGTTATTGTATTTGGTTATGAATACATGAATTATAGTTATCGTTGTGTTTTGGTAACATAGATAATGTTGTTCTAATTAGTTTTTTTATCCATTATTGTTTATTTTTTGAATAAAAGTAGATTCATGGTCATAGATAATGTCTTATTGCTGAACATAATCGTATTCACAAATGTCGAAATACCCACTTATATTTGTAAAATAAAAATTTCTACTGTATTATTTATATTTTATATCGACTGTTGCCAGTAAAATTGGCTTGTTGTTTTTCGTTGTGTGCAGCACAAAAAGAATCCAATCAATTTGCCTATACTTTTCGTTCTGACTGTCACGATGACTCTAAACAGAACGATACTTTGTTTAATGAAGAAATGCTGAAGGGTGAAGAAAATGGCTTCTGTGTATGTAACTGTGAAAAGAAACATTGCATGCGTTACTATTTATTCACATTAGGCCATACAACATATACACAATTTTTGTTGCCCGTCGCCAAGAAAGAACGAAAAAGAATCTATTTTCATCGTGTATTTTGATTTGGCGCAGCAACACAGAAAGTTTTTACAAGTAAGCACAAACAAATTGCATGTGCTCGGCTCTTCAAAACGACTGTTTTATATAATAGCACTTCGGTTTTAGAATGTTGAAAAGAGTTCTATTTTAAGACTCCGGATTCCATAATTGATTTGTGAATAAGCGCAAAAATATCAATTATGATTTAGAAACTCAAAGCCATAGCACGTCATCCAGGGAAGGAGAGGAAACAGACTTCACCCAAGTTCATGATTGCATCACATACTGTTTAGAAAAACGCTGAATGAAGGTGGCAATGCAGACAGAATGGACAAATCTTTATTTAGAGCGTTAGTGAGAAAAGATTTTAGCTTCTGCTGTAAGAACATCAGTCTCAATCAAAATTCAATGAAAAAAGAGAGTGCTTTGGAGATTATGCTAGTCTAATGGTTTTCTACCAGAGCGCTACTTGCAGACACTACAGATATTGTGAATGTTTTTTCATGTAAAAGTTCTATCAAAGACCGTGAAAAAGTTTAATAGAGTAAGACGGCATATATCACATACTTTTCTGTTCTATTTCATTGTTTTTTTTCTTTATCGACATGAAGCAAAAATGCCTTGATAATACACCAGAATTAGACTTCGCATCAGGTCAGCTCGACTCGAATCAGATAGCAGCATTTTTATATATAACGGAATATCCAATTTCTTTCTTTTTCTTTTTTTCTCTTTCTCTCTTTCAATGAGTGTATAAATACACTGTTGTATTCAGCAATTGCATGCCATTTTCCTTCACCAATCAAGCAAGTAAGTAGCTCTTCTCCTCTTTTTTCTCCTTTCGTTATTTCTGTTTCATAATCGTTCTCTATTTTACTCTCTCATATTTTCTCTTTTGTTCCTAATCTGAACGTTTCTTCTTCGAGATGACGAGCGGGTGAAGATGAAGTGTTTTTAATGCTGATATTTACAAATTAGCAACATTTATCTTTTCGATATTCTACTCGTTTGAGTGAGTTCTTCCATCCTACGCAAGATAGTTACTGAAAAATCGAATGATGAAACTTCGACGATACATAAACCTTATGAATGATTAGACTCTTTGAGATTTTCACCGAAATCTATTCCTCATTCTTGAAAACTGAATTAGTGCACTCGAAGAAAAACATACTCTAGGAAAATTATGGAAGACTTCCAGAACAAGGTTTCTGAGCTCTCAGAAACCCTCTAATGTAACCAAAAAAGTTGAGGACCCCGAAAACCTTCTGTGCGTTTTCCATTAGAATAAATCAGAAGCCAATTCAAACAGATATTCGACTTTTGAAAATACGTTCTTGATCTTACCAAAAGCTTTCTAATAGTATACATTTGAATGCGTAAAACATCAGGTTCTAATAATCTTGACAGTATAAATGCTGTCAAATCCTGAAGAATCCGTCTAACAGTATGAAGTCCTAACACTTAATCATTGACAAAGTCTTTAAGTGCATCGAAGTCCCAAATTATGCAATCTTCATGTCTGCCAAGTGAGAGTTTTAGGTACATGCAAAGCCCTGAAATCATCAAATCTTTTCAAGTAAGAGCCTTGAAGTTAGCTGAAGTTTTAAAGTCTTCGAGCCTCTCGAAGTCACCCTAGGATAATAGTATGGATGAACTCATAATAATATCAATCCATTTCGATTTCTTTAGTGAAGACAAGATTGTTTCTCGAAAATAGCAACTTTTTTTTTTTTTTTTTTTTTTAAAAAACTCAACTTAAAATTTCTGAGAGCGAAGAATCTGAACCCAATGGGTGGTTTATCGAAATGATCAAGTTTTTTTTTTCGGTCAAAGCAAGATTAGTTCTCAGAAATAACATTTTAGGCATACCATTGATAGTTGTAGAATTATCGATTCTGAAAGCCTTTTGTCAAGTTTTATTTAAAAAAGTCGTTAGTTTTGAAAAACAGTCGGGACACAAACGTCGTTGGTCCTCCACGGAAAATCGACTACTATGATTGGAGCTTCGTTAATGTGTTTGAAAAACAAAAACACTAAACACTTTCTACTTTTCATCAAGCAAATCGATAACTTGGATTCATTTGCATATGCTCATCTGACTTGAGTTCTACATGATCTGTGAACTTTGAAGAAAGTTTTTCAAGAAAAACCACCTGTAATATTTTCGATGCACATATATGCTTTGTTTTTTTCTTCTCAATGAATGGTGTTAAACGAATCTTCACTCATTAAGAAAGAAAATAGATAAAACGAAATAAATAAATTATATATTTTTCTCAATATCATCTTTTTTTAAAGTGATCTCTCGTAAAATTTTCCCAAAATTTCTATAGTCTGTACTCACAAATTCTGCCCAGAGTTAGTCATTGGCATCCCGTTTGTTTGAATGGCAAGAATTCAGAAAGAGTAGAAGCAAGAATATTGACTTATAATGACACATAACACTATAATTACTCACTCAACGTATGACTTTCCTTTCAGTAGAAGAAATCAAATGGTTAAATGCTTCCTGGCTGCCGCTTTTTCGTTAAAATATTAATGAAGAAGAAAAGCTACTTTAGGTTTATATGAATATAGTTGCGGTAAAGAACGAACCACCCTTGTCCTAAACTTGCAAACCATACGTTCGAAATGTAAAAATGAGAAAGAGAATATTTGGATATTATTCAGAGTTTCTATAATACTTTCTGAGTTTCCTAGACTTTTTGTTCTGAATCCGAATTCTTGAAAATCTAACCTTTTACGGGTACTCAGAAACCCAGATGGTATTTTCAGAAACTCAGTGTTAAAGCGGAAACCATTCTGGATACGTTTATAAGCTCCTGAAAAGATTTCCGAAGTTTCGTTTTCTGGAAAAATGTAATTTTTAGAATGTAGATAATTAGTTTGGTAGATATATGATTTTAATAGTAATTATACAGATATAAGATAGAAACAAGGTGACTTGATATGAAGTCTAATAGGTATGTACATTATTAGACTGATAAGTAAAGTTGTAAATTAGATAAACAATAAGTATGAACTCCTATGGTCACTAATAAAAATCTACGCATACTATAGTCGTTTTACATCCAATACATTAACCTAGTATTTACTCTAAGTATATTCATTGGAGAAAGTGTATTAAGTATCATTCTCGATGATAACTTACAGCATGTGAGTAACCCAGTCCATTTTGTTAACTTCACTTAAGGCACCAGTTACCAATTGAAGTTTCATTCGAACTTCAGGAAAATGCATACTTTAGTAACCGAGCCATGAAGGATAAATCAACACCTGAGTAAGACAGAAACGCTACAATATATGATAAAAAAGTGTCTCCGTCTAAGAGTATAATATACCAGCCAATGACAATTTCACAACTGCCTACTAATATTGTTTCTTATCATTAATGACAAAACTGTAAATTATTTTATTACGAACACTATCAAGCAATAGCATTTCAAATCGTCAAGGCTACAGTTTCGTCCGACCTCTTTAGATATTTATGTTATAGCATCACGTATCACTGGTTTTTATTGTTTTCAACTTTGAGAACCAGTTTAAGTGACCAAGAGTAAATGTTACTGTCAACTAGTGGTTAGCTACCCTATTAGCAATCTGCCGGGATTTTATGCTCAGTTACTAGTGTCAACCTATACAAATAAAATTAAATGAAAAATCAGATTAAAATCGATTTTCACCTAATTTTAATCATATTTAATCGACAAAATTTTTCACTGAGTAGTAACTGCTGTAAGATATAAGATATATCATAATCTATCTTAGAATCTTCATAGAATTTTATAAAACAATTCCCATCTCTCTTTCCCTCGTATTTATGATCCTAAACATACTTTTTAAATCAACATTCATGCTCTTATGTCTGTATGGTTCAAGCTTCTTTTAGAAGCAGATCCTATAACTCTTGCAGTCCCGTGAACGGTCATATGAATTATCGTTCTAAATGCACTCACATTTGTATTGGTTTTAATATGGGAGCTTATATGCATTTTGCTCGTGAGAAATATCATAAATAGAAATATGAAAGCTAAAATGTGAGAGCTTTAAAAAAAATCTTGTACATGGTCAACAATAATTTTTCATATATCAAAAACGTCGATACACTGAAATCATATCATACAGCATAATTTTTTTCTAATAGAACAGAAATGCAAATATTTATGTATATCTGCATAGTGAGTTTAATTTAGTTTTATGTCCAATAATTTAGTGTCAGATATATATGAGTTCTTTTTTTATTATTTGAATCGAAGCTGCTTATTATCGGTTGTTCTTGTTAAAATAATATTGTCATATAATTACTATTATTTAAATATTTGAAAATTGTGTCTCGATTTCAAACGACTAAGAGAATATATTTCAATTCTTCCTTTATCGAATATATTGTAGCGATTGTATTTTGAGTCGCGTATAATGTAAGAGAGAAGTGACGTTTACTATTAAGTGTAAATAGACCATGACGGATCAACGTGGGTAGTATCGTCAATGTAGGTGAAAGTAATACGATATAATATATTTTAATCGATTATAGATATGTGAATGTGAGAAACAGGTATAAAAATCAGTTTTATTCATTTTTTTCGTAAGAATTGTTATTTTTATCACGTCTTTTCTCATCCGTTGTAGTTTTAATTCCTAATAAAAATGACAACAAATCCAGGTTCAACTGTTGGCATGTCTGGAAGTTATAATGAAAATTCTGATCCTCAACTTGCTATTATTAATTTAATGATACCTTATATGCATTCTGGTATTGATGAGTTAGATATTTCATCTTCATCTTCACCTATGGTTATTACTGATTTTGGTGCATCTCATGGGAAAAATTCAATAAAAGCTATGAAAATATTTCTTGAATATCTTAAACAAACAAATAAACTTGTTGCATCGCCACTTATTGTTCACAATGATCTACCAACAAATGATTGGACAACACTTTTTCAACTTCTTTCAGAAGATAAATCATATCAAGGTGTGGCTAATGGTTGTTCATTTTATGAACGATGTCTTCCATCAAATAGTCTTTCATTAGGCTTTACAGCTTCTTCAATGCATTGGTTATCAAAAACACCTTGTAATATTCGCAATCATTGTTTTCATACATATGCTGAAGAGGATGAACGTCAAGCATATGGAAATCAATCAAAACTTGATTTTAATTCATTTATAGAACATCGTTCTCAAGAACTTGTGCCTGGTGGTGTTCTTGTTCTTAGTATTCCGAGTGTTGATGATCTAGGAAAAGAAAGTACTGGCAATTATTTCGATCTTTTGTATATGTGTGGACAAATGTTATTCAATGAACAAGAATTATTGTATTTGACAATTCCTATATATCTTCGTTCATTATCTGAATGCATCGATCCGAAATTATTCGAACGATGTTCATTAAAATTGATTAAAGCTGAATTAAGTCATTTGAAACTGCCTATACTTGAACTGTATCATAATGGTCAATTGACATTTGATCAATTGGTAAAAATATTTACAAAAGTATTTCAAAGTACTATGGATCCCTTACTTAAACTAGTATTGGAAAAGAATGGACGTTCAAAAGAAGAAATTAATGAATTATTAAAAGATTTTTGGGTTATTTACGAAGACAAGTTAAAAGAAAGGCCAGATCTAGTTACTAATCGTAATCAATATGTATGTGCCTGCTTGATATTAACAAAGATATAACAGACTGAAACATAAAACTTTCATTATTCACATTTTGACATTGATTTTTTTTGCTAATTATCTAAGTTGCTTTCGATAAATAAAAGTTAAAAAACATTTACTTGATCAAAATTCATTTAGATTATACTATTAAATAGAGTGAAAGAAGAATAAGCTTTTAAAACTGTTGCAAGGTTATTTAGCAGACAATTAAAAAAAAGAGAGGTGAAGATAAAAAGCGGATTTTTGTCTCTTGTTTATTAAAGTTGATGCAAATTTTAAATTGATCAATCTCATCAAATGCATATGTGATTCATCTACAGAAATGACGTTGAAAAATTTCGTGTAGACATTCTCATTTCTGACTGTACTCTATATGGAAATCACAGCGTGACACGACAGTTGAGCCTCTCACGGATAAGTCTTGTTGAAAAAGTAAAAGTGACATAGTCAGGTGAGCATGTTGTACGCAAGATTTTGGTTAAAATGCAAGGTACAGAAAAGTTAACAGATTTCGAAAATTTTGATACAATATGATGTAATTATTCAAGGGTGTCTTCCTCCCTAACCCCAATTCTTGAAAACTTTCCTGTTTACTCAGCAGAGATTTCATGAAACTTTTTAGGCCTTTTATCAAAAGTCTTACTGAATTGTTTACTACATTTTCCACTGTGGAAAAAGGTTTGCGCTAAAGTTAGAAGAAGACTGTTCGTTACTCTCTCCCTTCCACTTTACTGTGCTTGGGATACTTTCGTAATTATCTTCCACTCACATCCGCAATCAGATCTTTGATACAAATGTATCTAACGTAGTCTAGATATAGGAACGTGACACTTTCTGCTGGAGATCTTAAGATTTTGTTCAACATCTTCATTTAATGGTATGTATTAACGATAAGTTTACCATCATTTGTAACTAGATAATGTTGAGATTTTCAAGGAAACATGATCTGTTTTTAAGGATGCCCAAGAGAACAACTCTTTTTAACAGTTTTTCAAGGGAACATTAGTTGATAACTTAGCTCCTTGCGTTGGTAATAGAGAGCTGATCTGGATTCAGATTCAGCGTCACATGTCATATTAAATGGGCTATCTCAAAAGTACTTAACACGATCCATAAAAGAATTCTAGCGATTGTTTATGAGCCCAGTGCAATTCAACCAAGCTCTTATAGATCCCATCCTAAGATCTGATTACGGATCCTGATCAAAGATGATTACATTATCTTGCACCCAAATTTTTCAAATCTGTTAACGTTTCTGTACCTTGCATTTTGACCAAAATCTTAAACAAGAGATTTTTTATGAGTGTATGGGTGTGGGGGTGCGGTGGAGGTGTGGGTGTGGGTGTGGGTGTGGGTGTGGGGTGTGGATGTGGATGAACAGAAAAAAACACACCCACACATTCACAGACCCACACCTCACGCTCACATCCACACCCGCATCCACAAACCCACAGACCCACACCAACACCCACACCCACACCCACACTCACACCCCACATACCCACATCCACACCCACACAACCACCCACTCCTTTATCAGTGATAAAAATATCGGCCAATTTTGTCAAATTATGGTGAAGATATTCATATTTTCCTTTGGCTAAAAACTAACTTGACACCCTAAATGCAGTAAAGATTATCTCATGAAACTTCCATATATGTCAAACTTGGAACTTGAATTCAAGTATTGAATTATTGAATAGTTGAATACTTGAATTCAACTATTCAATAATTGAAGACTTGAACTTCAAATATCCCACTATTCAAGTATTCAAGTATTCAATTATTGAATCGTTGAATAGATGAATACTTGAATAGTTGAAACAAGTTCGCAATAATTGTATTCGAGTTTCAAATTTGACAGTACTGGAAACTTTCTTACATTTTTTACTGCACCAAGAAAATATAGTTTGTATATTTCGTTTAAACTTAACGACAAAACGTATCGTCATTAGTTCCTTCAAGTAAGTATAGATCGCTTTATTTTATAGTTCACATTAAAAAACTTAGTCAAGCATAAGTTTTAGCAGATGGTACAGAGTGTTGGATTAGGCATCGATCGATTTTGTATCTCAGTAATTGTGGCTAAAAGTGCAGCTTGTTGCTCACTAGCTAGCTTGGCATTGGCTGCGTTAGCTTGCATCACTTGAAGTAACTGTTCTTGCCATTGCATGCTCTGCTTGGCAAGATCTCTTTCTGCTTGAGCACGTTCTTCCTTCATCTTCTGGTACTCTTCTTGTTGCTTGATGATTTTCTCTTGAAGAGCCACCTTGTCCTTATCAAATTCAAGTTGCAGTGCCTTGAGGTCGGCATTCATCTGGTTCAGTTTGTCCGCCTGAAGAATGATCTCACCAATCTTCTCTTGCTGGCATGCATGATGTTCAAGTAAGAGCTGGATGATTTTCGTGCGCGCATCTTTCTTCTGCTCGGCCTTGTTGGCACTATTTTCTTCGATTGCGTTGAGAAAGAGCGTGTCTTTTGCGACGATTTCCCGCTTGAGACAATGGGATAGATGCGCCAAAAACTGACCTTCGTATCCTTCTGGTCGTTGCGCTGGCAGATTATTGATGATATAGGTCAGCGATTCTAGTGGAAACTGATAGGCATCGACGAGTGCTTGAAATGCAAATATATCATTCGGTTGAGCTCGACCGCCGACATGAGTCCACACGAATATGACCAGCGAGCGTGGACATTCTTTGAAAGCCCGTTCAATTTCTTTTTTATTGCGCTCAATATCGTCTTGATTCGACTCGATCAGCCCTGGAATGTTCCACACGAGTAGATTGAATTTGCCGACATTAATGGAATGATGTTCGGTCACGGTTGTGACCGCAATGGGGCTGAATCCAACCTTGAAGGTGTCATTGACGCCGGCGATGAGCAAATTGCAAAGGTAGCTTTTGCCTGCGCCTGCATTGCCAAGAATCATAACGCCAATGTCTTCGGCTCCAGCATGAAACGATGTCGTCATGTTGCTCACGATAAATTAAATAAGCCAACGGGGAAAATCAAAAAAAGAGAAAGAGCAGTCTATTCGATGATATTCTTAGAAGACATCTACAGCTGATTGTTTTTGTTTCTTTTATGCTAGCCGTAGCCGTGTACTATGACAGCAGCAGGACGAAGCCGTTCGTGTCATTTGAGCATTCGGAAGAGGATACCGTTCTTCTACCTTTTTTACTATTCAAACAAGGGTTCTCTTACGAGGGAACCACTTAAAGACACAAACAACTCTGTGAATGAGACCTTTTTGTCAGGCAAATAAAAGATATAGCTCGTCAAGCTAGTCAGAAGTACGTACTTTTTAGTCTTTTTTAGTTCCAACTTTTGAGTACGAAATGATTAAGGAGAGACACCCCTTTTCTGGCGACCTAAAACATTCTTTCATTGTAAAAAAGAAATGCATAATAATAAACCCTAAAGATGTTTTTTAGATTGAAAGGATATGGTCTAGAAACGGAAATTCACCTGTGTCTGTATGTCTGTCTGTAACACATGGTACAAGTGACCATTTTTGTGGTACAAAGTACCATAATTGTGGTACAAGTGACCACTTCCATGGTACAAAGTACCATATTCGTGGTGCAAATTACCATAGTGATGGTACAAGTGACCATATTCGTGGTACAAATTACCATAGTGATGGTACAAGTGACCATTTTCATCGTACAAAGTACCATTTTCGTGGTAGAGGCGACCATTTATTTGACACAATTGGCAATCTTCATTATATAATTGACCGTTTCTCTGGCTCAATTCCCTATTGCACGGCACAATTGAGCATTCTTATGGCTGAAATGAGCATATCTGTATCATAATTCGTCAAGTCCGTATTAGAAATCCCCATTATTTTGGCATAAATCACCGTTTTTAGTCTTTTTAATAAATCAAAGCATAAACTTTATAATATATACATTAGCATCTTTCAATATTTTATCTGAAGTATTTGTATTTATCTATAGTATTTAATATAGAACATGTTACAAAGATTAATAATGTCTCCTAAACTCATCATTACATAGAATTCATTTTTATTTAAAAATATAAGTACATAATTGTCATCATTTCATCAGTTTAGGGCCAAGTGTCTCGACATTCAATCTCGATGAACGTTACTTGTTCTCTGCTAGCTTTTCAAAACCCTAAAAGGTTTCGGAACGCGTCTGAAACCCTGCAAAGCGTTTCTGAGGGTGACATCGACGTTTTTCTTGAATCCTACAAAGTTTTTGGAAAAGATTTGGCATGTCCCAAGCCCTGAGAGAGTTTGTGGGAGAGGGGGACGAGAACTCAACTAGCATGAGTCCTTTAGAGTTTTGGACAAAGATTTTGTATTGGAATATGATTTTGGAAGCAGAGAACCTTCTATCCGTTTTGGCAATCCGTCTGAAACCATTTTACGGTTTACTATTGTACGTTTATTTTTAAAATGTTAGTCGAAGTTCAGTTAAACACCTTCCCAAACGCGATCGACAGTATTCTTTGAAGAGAACTGATGCTGAACCCAAAACAGATTTTGTCTCAAAAAGTGACAAAAATTCCACTAACATAAGCTCCAAATTCTGTACTTTTAAAACAAATTTTAAGCTATTTTTACATGTCGACAAAAAAAATTTATAGGTTCCGTGAATAGAAGACACTCTTCTGAGCTGAACAAAATCATCCGCAATATCGCACGACATCAACATCAAAAGTTTTTGTCATTTAAATGATAGCTACGCTTTAGCGCGAGATTGTTAAGGATACATCATCTTCTTTCTCACACCCTTAATCACTTTCATCGAAGTTGACCTCGCCAAAATTCCAAGTACAGCCGACTATTGTTTTTAATCCATTGAACACGATGTGGCCCACCGGTGGGCCACGCTAGAGCTTAAAGAAAAGTTAATCGTGGCGAATGGGTCAAGAATAGCTGTTAACCTGATCAAACAGATGCTCCCTCAAAAAGTTGCAGATATTTTACATTCTCTTTCTATCGTGTTTCGCAAAAGGATGCGGGC